CGTATGGCTTTTTTTTAATGAAAATACCCCAAAAAAATTCTATATATAGGAAAACTAACGGCACAAAACCCACAAAAAATGAAAACTAAAAGCCCTGAAATCTATATATAGAAATTTTTTGGGGTATTTTCGTTAAAAAAAAAGCCAACATTTCTTTGCAATAGTCGGTCAAAGGGTTTGACTAACGGAATTAGAAGAAAAAAACTAACGGCAGGGGGGTGTTTGATGTTTTCAATACTTCAGGGGGGTAAACGATATATTTATCATAGTACAGGGGTGCAAAATGAATTTTACCCTAAAAATTATATATTTATATTTATTAATAATAAATTAAAATTTACAAGTGAATGAACTTTTAAGTTATGGCTCATCCGGTTACAATTATTGCGAGTTATATTGATTAAATAGTACAGGCTAATAATATATTTGATTTAAATGATGGATAATTGTTGTTACGAAGGATCTTTTCTTCCGGTGAGTTTGGCGAACGTTGCCTAATAAAATCTATTTTGTAAAAAAAACGAGTGGAGGCTAATAATATTTTTGATTGAGAAGATGCATGCACTTATTCAAAGATTGTTACTAACTGTACGGCTTCGATTTATGATTAATTTTGTAGAGTGTGACTGGAAAAAAAATTATCTTTAAAAAATAATATTTTACTTCAATATTATTATTTTCAATTTTAGAACAATATTTTTCTATCGCCCTTATCCACATCAACATGTAAGCATTTGATGACTCAACGCGAAAATATTGTACACATAACACAAGACTTCCAAAATTATTAAACATTAAAATAAAAAAAATAAAAGTAGATTAAAACAAATATTCATAGATTCTATGATCTAGCTGAGGGCAAAAGGCATAATATTATATAGGGAAATGTATAATTAAATATTTGGGGTTCATGAACAAGTTCCTCATATTTCATTACCAGACAAAACCATCCTACTCATATTCCATCATTTTGTGCATTTAATTAAAGGAAAATAAATTATATTATTATTATATTATATTACTATAATAATATATATTATTATCACTTCTGACGTTACTTTATATATTCAAATGAATTATATATAATTGAAGATGCGAGACAAAGTTTAGAGTTTATTATTTTTTTATATAATTTAAAATTTGATTTTTATTTATCGAGTCAAAAAGAATAGGAAATTCTACTGATCATCATAAATAAAATCCAAATAAAATTATATTAAAAAAAGAAAATAAAAAAAAGACAAACTAATAATTAAATAATTAGAGTTTGAGAGACAAATCCAACTTCTTCAAATCTTCAGATTTACCACTACTCTTTTTAACAGCATCCCATCTGAATCCACCACCACCACCACCACCAACCCCATCCACCGCCGCCGAAAATCTCCACCCACCGTCAAACCTAGCTGCCCCGCCACTCGCCGCCGCCGACGGCCCAACCTGATGATTCTGATTCTCCACCACCAGCCGCCCCACCGCCGCCTGCCGGTATAAACTAGGCAGCATCATTCCACCACCACCACCGCCGCCGCCGCCGCCACTAAAACTCGGCGGCTGCTTATGTATCATGGAGTGAACCTGAATCCCAAGCGCCGCCCTGCCGTTGAATGACCCATGCAACGGGAGAGAAGCCATGCTCGAGTACCGGTGGTGCGCCGCCGCCGCCGCATCATGGTGGCCGGCGCCGCCGATTCTCTGCCCCTTCCTCGCGATTGTTCTCTCCCGCTTGTGGGCGTTCTGATGGCCGCCTAAAGCCTGCGAGCTGTAGAACTTCCGGTTGCAGTAGTTGCAGGAGAAGACTCGATTCTCCGGCGACTCCTTCGCCGGAATTTGATCTGGGTTTGCGTGGAAGAGGCTGATCAGCTCCAGCTCCGGCGCCTTCGAAATCTGGTCTGAATTATCTTTGCCGGAGAGGCTTAGATCCAGTACAATATCACGATTCTTGATTTTCCGGCCGTGTTCTTGAATACTGCATGGCTGTAAACTACTTTGCGCCTCCATATATTTTAATTTAATTTATTTTTTTTTTATTTTTCCACTTTTGAAAGTTGAGGAAAAATAAGGTTTAATATATACTCAAGAGAGTTGTAAATGCTGATTGATTGGAAAATAAATGTTTTTTTTGAACTAATTTACAGTTACAAGACCTAATTATAGAAAAAATATTTGCCAGGGAATTTTGGGGGTTATGTATATTATGTTATGTATCTACCAAAGTTTTTTATATATATAGATACAAATTGAAAGTCATAAGAGAAATTAAATAAATATATATAAATAAAACCCCACATTTTATATATTTTTTTATTTTGTTTATTTATTTTGTCATGTTGCTAGATGTCATTTTTGACATATCTTGTCTCATGGGTTTTGCCCATTTAGGGCAACATTTATGGTAAATGTTTTATCATGAAAATTGTAAAATAAAAAATTAAAAAAAAAATATATATATTATGAGATCATATAGAATAAAATAATAGAGCCCTACCCCTTGCTAGAAAAAGATATGTACTATAGTATAAATTTGAAAGATTTGATGAATTTGATTGAAAATCATATTGTACTCGACAAATTTTGTTTCTTATATATATTATTGTAGCCAACTCAACCTTTTTTGTTTTACACAAAGTGAAAAACATAAATAAATTACATTTTAATTATCTAATTACTCAATATGTTCCATATTACTATATATCGATTTACATTTTCAATACTGCACTAAATGTATATTTTGTTGTTTCAAACTTTATTAATTTAACTATCAGTCTATCAACATTAACTCTTCCCTATAGATTATTAAAAGATAAGGTTATTTTAGTTATTTCTATATGATTTTACTAACATCAGACCACGTTTATTTAGTGAGTTTCTTGCACCAAAAGGCGAAATCCCTCGCCCCCAGGGTCTCCATCCCTTGGCCCGACAAGTATTTGATGGAGTAATGTAAATCATGGTAACTCAACGGCCCGTTAAGGTAGTCGATCCGGACCTGGTGCCCACAAGGAACCAACCTTCATTGGAGTTGAAATTTCCACACTCCGGATGAAGTAATATAAAATAAATTAAAATGTTTTCACCAAATCCGTGACACATAAAAGACAAAAAAACATTAACTAAATATTATGAAAATATTTGCCTTTTAATTACAAATATATTAAAAACAAATACTGTTGATGAACGTTGACAAAAAGATGCTTATTCATGCATGAGGACAAACTAAGCAATGAATTAATATATACTCTACACTTTGTTACTAGTAATTCTTTTAGAGATGAATTATTATATATAATATCAAGACATCATATCATTATATATATATAAATTACTAATGACTTTTTTTTTTTTTTAATTTGAATTTGCTACATTAGCAATTATTTATTGTGCTTGAGCTTGAATTTTGAATTTGCAAGAGAATTGAAAGATTACTTGATTGGGTATTAATGGAATGTAATGGTGCATTCACTTTGGGAGTTAGTAATATTGAACATAATAAAATTCTTTTTATTAATTTGGTATCAAGATTTATAAATATCGACCAATATACAATTATCACCAAATTAAAGGGGTATGTTTTAATTAGTAAAATATGTTACGATAAATTAAATAATAAGATCCAAATTAATCAATTTTGTCATTTACGATGTGTACCTGGAACAGTGCTTCTCTGTTACAGACCATCCAATTATATATATATGTTGGGAGTTGAACTTATGATTTGACATTGTTAGGCATTACTCCACACTTATCAACAGTATATATATATATATAGTTTTTATCACATTTTCTTGATTATATATAACATAAAAAACGTGCATTTTGTAAATTCCACTTTTCCTATAACAATTTGCAATTTAGTACCCAAGAGATGATAATTATTACATACATTGAACAAATTTTATGCGACAAAATTAATTTAGAAAATATTGAATAAATAAATTAATCTCATATCCTTTGACATCAAGTACAATTTTATTTTCTTTTGGATTGATTATTTCCCAAAGAGATAAAATAGGGAAATATTAATTAATTAATTAATTAATTAATTAATTAGCTCTATATTATGGTTCTATTTAATTTAGATAAATAATCAATAAGCATATGATTAATCCTAATTATTCACAACAGTTCGCATGTTTCTATAGTAGGGCCTTTTTGGATAAGCATCAGTTTATTTCTTGTATCTATTCTATATATTAATATGTATATATATAGTATGTGTGTGTGTATATATATAATATGCAGGTGTCTATCAGCAGTACTTAAGATTTGTCAAAAACTAAAAAGAAAAAGGGCAGGAAAAAGACAATAGCAACAATTGTGGCTTTTATTGCATTATGAAATCAAGGTACAGGATTTGTTTGTCTGCATATCTTTGTGTAATAATCAATTCTTTTTTACTCCCACTAATAAAAATAAGAATACTCAAAAACTCATAATTATTTGCTGGCCCCTTGTTTTTTATTTATCTTATGTTTTTAAATAATAAGTTAAAGGTTATGGTTTATGAGTTTTGTAGATACTACATCCGGTGAATAAAACCGACTGATCTGCACCATTGATCTACACGTACATGTATATATGTATTCAATGGATAGTTATTTATATAAATTTATGATGCAAAATACCCGATGGTTTTCATCAGACGTAACATCTCATACTTTCGTTCTTATTGGCCAATAACTCTTCAATATACAATAGAGGCATGAATTCTAAGAACATGCACTAATGGAAGTCCCTTTCTAAAATGGGATAAGATCAAAATTGAAGCTGAAAATTACTTGTATGAAATAAAGGGAAAATGAATGCACTTGACCAAATTCTTGAATGATTCTTTTTTAATGAACATAATTACGAGAATCCTTATGAAGTAAGATCTAATTACGAAAATCCTCTCATATTTGTATAATTACGAAACCCCCCTGCGGCGCAGTCCGCTTACTTTGTTACTTTTAACGAATTTTATTTTATTCCATGAATATTCCTCTAAAAATATCAGTTTTATCTTTTACCACGTGTCACTACTACCTCGAACAGGCTTCTTGCATGATTCTCCGGTTACATACCTCATGGGTTTTTCATAATGTCGCAAATATGAGGGATTTTCATAATTAGACGTTATCTCAGGGGGTTCTCGTAATTTACCCTTTGTTTTTTCTTTTCAAATAACTGAAGGGTAAAACGGACAAACTACATTTTCGATTAATTTAAATGATCAAACACTGATCATAGGGTGATCTTCGTAATTATGCAAACATGAGAGGTACTTTTGTAATTTGCCATTTTTCTAATTAACATAAATAAAAATTGGGCCTTCAATCTATGTGAAATGTAGCCCAATTCTACAGCCCAATAAATTAAACCAATTGACTTTATTTTGTGGGCTTTAACCCAATTTAGAAAAGCAGCGTCACAAAATCAATTTTTGCTGCCCTTAATAAAAGGGTTTTAGGGTTTTAAAAATTAGGGTTCTTACTTCTTTCTCTCTGAATAGCAAGCTTCTTCTCTCTCAGTCGGTTGTATCTCTTTCGTACGTGTACGTATTAGGAGCCGTGTGAAATCCATTTGATTGTAATTGATTCTTGTGTCGACTGTTTCTCCTGTGACTGTAATTGATTCTCGATTCGATTTTTTTTTATCATCAGCAGCACCATGTCCGCCGCCGCAGGGGAGAATGCGCCGCCGCCGGAAATGAATTACATATCGGAGGTGGTGTTGAAGAAGAGGAAGAACAACGAGGATTGGGCAATCCGAAGAAAATTGCAGCTTCAGGAGAGGGCTAAACGCTCTAAATTCGGCAATTCCTTCATCAAGAAGCCCGAACAATTAATTCGAGAATATCGCGATAAAGTAAGAAAACAAAATAAAAGAAGTATTTTTTGTTATTTTTTCAGTAATATTATTATACCTTCATTATCGAATATTGCCCTCATTTTACGCACTGCTAATTTAATTTACAGGAGTTGGACTTCGTTCAAATGAAGAGCAGGGTAAAACTAAAAAGACGGACACCTGTCGCGCAGGATTCCCGGCTTTTATTCGTCATACGCATACGAGGGTTCGATTAATTAGCAATGAATTATTGTGTTCTTTTAACATTTTCATTGTCTGAAGATTTATTTTGTGTGTCTTTTGCAGTAAGAACGATATGCATCCGAAAAGTCGGAAGTTGTTGTACTCTTTGAGATTGAGGAAAATATTCAGTGGAGTTTTTGTTAAGGCAAGTAAAGGGATGATGGAGATTTTGCAAAAGGTGGAGCCTTATGTAACTTATGGGTATGTCTAACTATTCCTTACAATGTTGCTTCTATAATCGATCTCGTTTGTTCAAGTATGCTATAATCCTATTTGAATGAGCTTCTTTGACTGCTTACTTTCATGAGTGTAGACAAATGGAATCAAGCTTGTTCTGAATTGTGTCTAGCTGTCAAAGTTATGTTTGAGCTTTTTTTTGTTAAGCAATTGAGTCGAGCTCGAACGCGTTTTAAAGATTTATGGTTTCATTTTTTGTACATAGTTTGTAATGTTCCTCTAATCGAGCTTGAACGAGTTTCGTAACTTATCGAAATAAAATGTGTTACTTGGTATGGTATGCTAATAGATCGCGCTCAAAGGAGCTTTCAAAAAACAATCTCGAATAAAGTATCAAGTAGTTTTGTTTGATTTTCCTTTTATGTCTTATGGCTATTCTCTTTTATTAACTCTTTTACTTAGTTTCGAAATGAGATATTTCAAACGAAAATTCAAGCTTGGTTCTTTATGTTAATAAATGGAGCTCAAACTACCTTGAAATGAACGATCGAGAACCGAGTATCAAGTAGCTTGGTTTGATTTTCAGACTGACTTTTTTACATGATACGAGGTCTCCTATTACGCCTTAAGACTATTCTCTTTTGTTGACCTTTTGCATTAGTTTCATTAGCCCTTTCAACTTTAGTTTCTACTCGGCTATTGGATACCGATATTTTTAATTTTTCTTGCAGTTATCCAAGTATGAAGAGTGTGAAGGATTTGATTTACAAGAAGGGTATTGTGAAAATTGGCAAGGAGAGAGTTCCTCTAACCGACAACAACATTGTCGAGCAGGTACAAACTCACACCTTTCCGATTGTTTGATCTCGTTTCTCAATTGATTTACTAATCTACGAAATTTCAAAAAATTAAATTGTCATTTACATTTGGCAGGAGCTAGGCCAGCATAACATAATATGCATAGAAGACATTGTGAACGAGATTGCCAGTGTGGGCCCGCAATTCAAGACGGTCACACGTTTTCTCTCGCCCTTCAAACTGAACAATCCCGACAAGGCACTGCGCGGTAAGAAGAAACGGTTCGAAGATGGCGGAGACTCTGGTAATCGTTTGGACCGCATAAATGATTTGATCGGCAAGATGAATTAATTTAGCACAATAAGAAAAACGAAAAATTTGTTATTGTTGTAGTAGGTACTTGGGTAAACGAATCTCGGATTTTGCTAAGTTAATTCTTCGTCCCTTTTGTTGATGGAATATTGAGCCTCGTATTTGGTGTTATATCATATGGAGTTTTTGTTTTATAATTCCTCAGTTGAACGACTTCTGATAAATCTATCCCTGGAACGAGTTCGAATATTTCGCTCAATCTATACTTAAAAGGAAAAGAATACTAGGATTTTGCATATTTATCTATCTTATTACAGGATGTATCTTCTATCCTTGTTCTCTCCAAAATACAACATACATATATAATATAAAATATATATACGTGTGTATATATATATATGTTCATGATCGTCTGAAGCTGTGTTCGGTTACGGGTTTGTTGTTGTCGTGTGCCTTGTCTTCTTCGTCGGGTAACTTAACTGCAGAGTAAACACCTGCTCCGGTCAAGGCACCAAGTATAGGGGCAGTTAGGTAAATCCATATAGCTTTGTAATTGTTTGCAGCAATTGCTGGACCCAATGTTCTTACTGGATTCATTGATGCACCTGTGCTTGGCCTGTGTACCATCAAAACACAAATGGGATTATTATTTGTACACTTTTCTTTGTGGAGTTTTAATCATTGCTAATTATTGATTTTTTTTAGAAAAACAATTGACCTTCATTAAAATAATGGATTCCACTATGGAATTTGTTAAAAAGGTGGATTTAGTAGACTTTTGGCACCTGGGGTGTTGAATATTGTTCACCTAGTGGACCCAATTTTGTCCCACGAAAATTTTTACTGTGAATTTTTTATCATAGCAGTTAAATTTTGTTTGGATGAATTTTTCTTAGCGAAAATATTTTTTATTGTAGTTGTCAAATCTTTTTACCATAGGAATTAAACCATGTCCGGATGAGAGAGAGACATTAAAAAAAGAAGAAAAATTACGGTAACCCTCCGAGTAAGGTTAAAATGATGAAAAAAATCACTTATGCTTGGGTAATTACAACTATCCCTCAATTATGAATCTTCTTACACGTTTATGGTGTTGAATTCAATATAATCTTTTCGATTTCGTAGAATGTTCTCTAGTTTGTACTCGTTTTGTGCAAAAATGCAGTTTCTGATGCATCACAATCTGATATTTACAAGTCAAGAGACACGTCTTATGATCATCTTGTTTTAAAATGTAATTATCGAACGGGGTAAAACGAGTACAAACTGGAGAATATTCGACATAATCTAGAAGATTCCACTAAATTTAACACCACAAATGTGGACATGTAAGAAGATTCATAGTGGAGAGGGTGGCCATAATTAATCAAACATGCGGAATTTTTTCTTAATTTGATCTTTACATCATAGGAATGCTATAACTTACCTTAAAAAAAAAATGGGATTTGGCTTTAAGAAACTAAACAAACACTAATTCATTTTGTAATAAAAGTAAAATGAAAACATAACCAAAGCAATAGCTTTAAATAATTGGTTCCAACTTCCAAGAATAGCCAAACACTCAGCTGGTGAATATCTTCAAATTTTGAAGAAAAAAAAAGGAATAATCTTAAAATTTGCAGTGCATTTATTTCTATTGCAATGTTACTAGGATCCAATTGTAATAGTTGGATTTTGAGGGTTTTCATTACACAATTCCTCTCATTCTTCTTGCAAAATTCAAGTTCATGTATTCTCAATTGCACTTCAACTATCTATTTAGCTTTGATTTATTATATTCGTTCTAGAAGTGACATCCTAAATTTTGCACGTGCATTAGGTCAGAAGGGTCTTCCACATGCTAATTTAAAATTAAAAAAATAAATTATATATATTTAGAAAAAAAAAAAGAAAAAAAAAAGTTGTAAGATAAAATTACCCGGCTATCAATATGTTGAGCATGACAGTAGCTCCGACCGCAATCCCCGCTAGCTCCCCCACCTGTGTGATTTTCAGCATGGCACATAACATTTTTTTAAATTAATAATAATAAATAAATAATAAACTTTTTTTTTTTTTTTTTTTTTTTTTTTTTTTTTTGAGTCACATTCAAAGATTCTTCTATCAATGCATTGTGCAATGTACTAAGCTGAGTTTTCATTTCAGTGACAGTGAACTCGGATCCAAGAAAAAAAAAATATTTAGTATTAGTAACTATATATATATAATATATGAAGTATTATTTCTTTATTTATTTAAGTTCCACAATTTCATTTATTAATGGACAGATCACCATGTTACATTAAAATGAAGCACAGCCCTCTTGTCTGAAAAGATTATTTATTGTTTTTTGTCTCTGCAATTAATGTTTGGAGAACCAACCCCCTTTTCAACTCTCTTTCTTACAACTTGACTCTTGTTTCTGAGACTAAAACCACAAACCCTAACCGACAGTTAATTCGAACCGATTTAGTAAAATAACTAATCCCGGATCGAAATTAATCATCCGGATATTTTATTTTTGCAGCCATAACTATCTTTAAAAAAAAAGGGTAAATTACGAAAATACCCTAAACTTAGATTAAACTACAAAAACCACATCCACCTATTCGTAACGACTAAAAACCCCATGAAGTTTGTTTCCATCTCACACCAACCCCTTACAGTGTGACTTTTCACGGATTTTTTTTTATTACTTGGAATAGATTTTTACACAATTTCAGATATTTCTTTATTTCTCACCTATTTAACAGAACTTATAATAGACTGTACACATTTTCTGTTTAAAGTTAATCAGAGGGCGATTTTGGTTATTACGGATATGTGGGGTGTTTTTCGTTATTTAGCGTAAGTTCAGGGGGGTTTTCGTAATTTACCAAAAAAAAGTAATTTTTTTTTTTTTGGGAAAATTAGCAAGAAAGAGTGTGTGTGTGTGTGTGTTTTCTTACAGCTCTTGTATCAGTGGCAACTGCAGTGACAACAAACATGAGGTTGAATGTAATGATGAACTCCAGAGCAAAAGTTTGCGCGTATCCAACCGAAGGAACCGTCACTCCGCCACCCATTGTCGGATGAAATATCGCATTTAGCATAAACGATGCACATATCGATGCCACTATTTGTGCTCCGATGTACACCGGCACCTGTAAGAAAACGCGAAAAAAAGAAAAATTCAAAAACATGTTTATTTTCCGACAATCAGAGAGCTAAATACAGAGCAGAGCATTCGGTTATTGTTTGTTTACATGCTTCCATGGGAAATGCTTGAGTGCAGCAAATGCAATTGTGACAGCTGGATTGAGGTGGGCCCCGGAGATATGTCCGGTGGAGAGTATGACTATCATCACCGCTAGTCCGGTCGACCCCGCCAGGCCGAGCAGAGTCTCCGATCCGCCGGTTTTTTCGTTCACAATGGCGGTTGCGGTTCCGGCAAATATCAGTATAATTGTGCCTATTAACTCTGCCCCAACCTGAAAAAAATGTATTAGTAGTTTAGTACAATATCCATGATATATGTTTATATGTGTGTGTATATATATCTATATATCTATTATATGTGGATCAAGAATTGAAGACCTTTCGAGCGAGGGAGATTGGAGGTGGAGGCAATGCACAACTGACAGGGGGCAGAGACCCCTCCTCCAAAGCCCAAGATTCATGAACACCAAAGCATTTGCAGCTGCTCCTGAGAAAAGACGGTTTTAACCCTCCGTTACGGCCTCGTTCGGGGCGGAATCCTCCGAAGAGAGGTGCACCGGGGGTTCCTGGAGTCACGGGTGTCGAAGGAGCAGACGCACCATCTTCACTCCCCATCACTCACACAAGAAATTAAAGAACTGTGCCCTAAAAGAGATGAGAATTGCACTAAACAAATAGTGGCTTTTATGTTTTGCATGAAAATGAGGGGTTGATTTGAGTTTATTTATACTTGTTTTTTTTTAACAAAGATAGTTGACTTAGGAGAATCACAATAGATCCAGGAAAAAAGGGGGCAAAAAAAAGAAAGAAGATTTTTAGTATTTAGTGGATGATAATTGAAGTAGGGGGGAAAAAGAAAGTATCGCTTTTTTTTTTTTTTCCGGTAACGAAAGAACCAGCTGCTGACCGTATAGGTGCACTGCGTAAACCAACAATCTGGTATAATAGCTTGTAAATCACACAAGCTCGACCTAGCGGTCGCTGACAAGGAGATTCGAACTTTGGTCAATTGACGCAAACTCACTTGCACCGACTGTTAGGCCATACATTGCTGAACGAGAAAGTTTTGCTTCGAGAATATGAATGGTGGGACATTAATCATATGTTTTTTTTTCTTTTTTTTTTTTTTTTTGGGATTAGGATAGTTGAAAGAAAAATTGAGGTTTTAGAGACAAGAGTTGTGGTTTTGCTGTCTGATTCCACTTGATATTGTAGTTTCTTTTTTTACTCTCAAAATAGTGAAAGCTTTCCATGGTTGTTGCAAGGGAGATATTGGTTTAGGCAAATAAACAAACACATGGGGGGTGTGAAAAAGAAAAAAGAAAAAAAGATAAGAATTAGTGATTATGGTTGGTGAATTGCTCGTTGTTTTTGGATTTATGCAATAATTATTGAGAAGAAGGCAAAAATTTGGGTACTATTTTGTAATGAGAAATTTACACCTTCCAATGTGTGTGTTTTTCTCCACCTAAAAAACTCATGTAAAAAGCCTATTGATTTTTTCTACTTTTGCAGAGATTCAAGATTTGTGGTTTTAGGGCAACCTTAAACTTTGAGGTAATTAATTGAAGAATATAAAATTTGCTACTTGCTAGAGGAAACAAAAAGTGGGAAATCCCAAATAGTTTACTAGCTAATTAATGATGTTTAGTTTAATTAAGATTGTATGTTGTTTTGGTACCTTTAGGCCTCGTTTGGTTGTCAAAATAGGATTAACGAATATAAGATTAAATAATCTCCATGGAAGGCCAAGATAAAACAATTTTTCGGGGTGGACCAAAAAATTATGGGTAAATTATAATCACCCTCCGAGATATAGTCAAATTACGAAAAAAACCCATCTTGTTTGAGTAATTACAAACACCCCTCAACTATAAATTTCTTACACTTACAGTTTCAAATTTAGTGGAATCTTCAAGATTTTATGGAATATTCTTAATTTTATACGCGTTTTATCCCATTCGAGCTCCACATATTGAAGCTAGATGATCATAAGATGTATTTTTAAGTTTGTATATATCAGATTATTGCGCATTAGAAACTATATTTTCGCACAAAACGTATACAAACTAGAGAACACTGCATGGAATCTAGATGATTATGTTGAATTTGACACCATAAGAATGGAGATGTAAGAAGATTCATAGTTAATGGGTAAATTTAATTATCAAAACATGAGGGGTTTGTTGTAATTATCCAAAAATTATTGAATTTATCAAACAACAAACAAAGTGAAATTATTTAGTTAATCATGATTAATCTTCCTAACCAAACAAGACAGGATAGTTTAGTGCATAATGTGTGATGATGATTAATTGATTACTATACTAATTGCACAAAGCAAATCCCAGTGACTGCTTTTTTATTATTTTTTCTTTTCCTAACTATCCACTCTTTAACTTTTGTGCATCTGATTCGATTTTTTTTTTTTTTTTTTTTATATTCAGAGGCAAATAATTCATGATGAATTTGGTCAAATTGATATAAACATGTGGATGGTGTCCAAGAGAAAAACCTTTAACAAAATTGAAAACAAAAGGCAAAATGAATAGTTTTTTTTTCCCAATTACAATTTGTGCTTATTGTATATTTGACCCATATTCACGAGCTAATAGCACAAACCTCCCTGTATTGCTTTATAATTGTCGAAAAAACTCCTTGTGTTAAAAAAAATTAGCAAGAAGCCCCCCATGTTGAGCTTTTTGAGCACGCCATTCTTTTTTTTTCGAAATTTATTGTTGACTTGTCTGAAATGACCAAATTACCCTTACAAACAAATATTAAAAAAAAGGAACAAATAAAATTTTTAGAGGGTATTCTTGATTTTTCAAGTCAAAAAATACACTTCTACTCTCACAATCCGCAAGTGCATTACACAATAAGTCAAACTTGATACAAGTTTGACCCGATTAAATCTCGTTCGAACCAGACTAAATTTCTTATCAAATTAAGCTTAAACACAACTTTAATCAATAACTATTCAGAAAAACTTGAATAACCATACATTTGATTCGACTGAATTTGATTACATCCCTCCCTTTAAAATTGGTGCATTTTGTAAAACAAAACATCATGATTTAAAATCAGCTGAAAATGTCCCTATTGGAGAATCATTACTATTTAATAGGTAGGGATTTTTTTTTTTGATAAGTATAATAGGTAGGGATATTAAAGTTTGAACAAATTGAATGGTCCATTTCCTTCTCTTTGTTAAATTATGGTCATCTCCCTAAGGTAAGATTAAATTATGAAAATGTCTATTCTGTTTGGGTTATTACAATATCGCCCCTCAATTGTGAATCTTCTTACAAGTCCACCCTTATAGTGTTAAATTCAATAGAATATTCTAGATTTCGTAAAATGTTTTCTAATTTGTACTCATTGTGTGCAAAAATGCAATTTCATATGCACACAATCTGATATTTACAACCCAAGTGACACAAATCTTAAGATCATCTTGTTTCAAAATGCGGTATTTGAATGGAGTAAAACGGGTACAAATTGAAGAATATTCCACATAACCTAGAAGATTTCACTAAAATTTGACACCTCAAAGGTGGACGTGTAAAAAAACTCACATTCGAGGGGGTGGTTCTAATTATCCAAACAATACGGATTTTTTTGTAATTTGACCTTACTTCAGGGCAATGGCCGTAATTTATCTTTTTTTTGTATTTTATTTTGAAATGGATGGCAATGAATTGAAATTCTTTTACTGTCACTTCAAGACATAGATAAAACCCTTAATTCTTGTCTACTACTTATCGGCATATATTTAGGCCTAGGCAAGGACAAATACTTTCCTACAAATAAAAAAAAACTTTAATATTTTCAAAACAATTATTTTTATTATAAATTCAGAAATTTGTTTTCTGTTTTATCAGAATAAATTCTCCATTACCATTCATTTCATGGGACCATAGAGGGAAGGAAAAAAATCAAATATAACTTTAGAAACACATTGACTCAGAAATAACCATCAAGATTACAAAAAAGTTTTAATTTATATACCAATCGTCAATTACGTTAGGAAACGTGTGAATATTAAAAATGTAGGGGTACATCCGTAACTTTTAAAAAAAAATTATCACGTTTAACTTATATATCTATCATCAATTACATATTTGTACCTATAAATTATATATAATTTGCAAGTTCCAATCCGCATTATCATTATATCAGGATCCGTTTCCGACATGTGTCATGGTATTTCGATTTCTGAAACATTTCCGAAACATAAAAAGGCGTATAGAAGTTTTCGTGCATCATAGGTTAAAATTATTTGTAGCGCAAGAATAGGTTTTGTCTCCATAAAATTTATTATAGATATATAATGAAGTTTATATAAAGAATGCATAATATATATTTTATTTTATTTAATTTTCTCTCCATTTTGTTCGCCTAAGAAATTCTTGGCAAACTTTTAAATATCAATAATTTTTATCATAAATTATTGATATTTAAATAGGTAGTAAAATTGGAAGATTTAGTGTAGAATAAAAAGAAATTTATAATTATTTTATTGAAATCTTATTTTAGTACAAAGGAAATAGAGAGTATTTCATCTCATTATTTAATTATTATTATCGCTTCATCATCCAGAGTATATTCCCCACTGAACTCATGGATATTGACACCTACCATAAGCTGAAATAAAACAAACAAAAGTTATATTCAAATAAAAAAAAATTAATTCAAAGGAAATGAATTATTTCAAAGAAAGCTCATAAATCTACATTTATAAAAGAAATATATTATTATATATATATATATATATATATATAAGCGCCGAAGCCCTCCTATTTTACTCTCCATTTCCGTTTTTTCCTTTTTCTTCTGCCAACTTCCATGTAAAACGGCGCCGTTTGGTGAAGCTCCACCAATCAGGTTTTAAGTCTCTTTCGGGCCATGGCTACGGGCCTAAATTGTTGGGGCAGTTCGATGAAGGGAGAATCGAAGAGTTCATTCATGCAAGGGTATGTGAAGAACAGCTGGAGGTTGTTCTTTTGAATATAATTTATGACTTAATTGGGATTTAAGCAATTTATTTTTCTTTTGAATATGATTTTTTGACTTATTAGCATTTAAACCAAATTTAGTATTCTATCTTATCTTGTTTTGGTTGACTATTTCTAACATGGTTACGTTGTTCATACCATTAATGTTTTTAGCTCGAAAGTAATCTGAAATTGCTTGAGGTCATCGTAAAAAGATTGCGTTTTTTCTTCGTCGCGTTTTCTTGATTGTTACGCAATGTTCTTGAAAATTATGAATAATTTGCTTCTTATTATTGATTTAAATTCCCAACATGCAATGTTTGCTCACTTCGGTAGTTCTTCTGTGTATGCTTTGTACTTGTGTATGCTTTGTACTGATATAAAATTTATTTATATTGCAAAACAGGTGTTTTGATTAGGCTAACATAGACTTACATCTGAAAATTTTAATGCAGTTTGGGACGAGGTATTCACGTAATGCAGTTTGATATGCTCAAACTCGGTTGGGGTCGTGTTTCTTCGATATGATCAACTAAGCCCTCTGATCAATGTTTTAGTTATGGCTTTTAATTTTCTATCGTAGATATGTGTAGACATTATTTTCTTCTGCTTTGCTGAAAATGATTAACTCATTATTTGGATCAATCATAATCCAACCATGAACAGCAGTTTAAAAACTTGCAAGCTGCCTCTTTTAGCAAATGCAGCCCCAACTTACATTGCCCTCAAAGTTATCCGTACATAATGGGCAAACTGCACCGCGCTTTGCGCGGTGCCACCCCCTAGTATATATATATATATATATATATATATAGAGAGAGAGAGAGAGATATTACAAGGATCATTTGTTGTTAAACGACCAATCTCTTGATCGCATCCTCCAATAACATTATAGTACAAATCGAACACGTATGATGCGTGACTTGCCAAAGTATCCGGTTCAAAACAATCTCCACCCGGTAGTATCGCGGTGCAGTTAATATGACTGCAGGCGTAATCTAAAAATCCTTGCAACTTATCATCTGATGGAGGTGGATCGTGTACTATACACCAGTCTTTTTCTTAATTACAACAAAAAGAAATAAAGGAAAAAAAAATTTGTTTAATAAAAAAAAAAAACTCAAAAAGTATTTAATTATCAATGCCTATTAGAATATAATTCTTATAAACTTTGTATACATTTATAAGATGAATATTGTCTTACTTCGTCTCGACGAGTTGGTACTGAATTTTTATTATCGGCATGAACAAAAGTTCCGAATAGAAAACTAATTAGGAACAAACAAAAATAGATTTTTGCCATAATTAAATATTTTGATTTTACTTCAAATAAAATAAAATATATTTGGTTTCTTATCACAAAAATGTGTGATTGGTTCACTTTAAATAAGGGGAATATTGAAATGTGAGATTTTTCGTTTATAGAAGATTTTGTAATACGATGCAGATTAATAATTCACATTCTATATCTATAGTTTTTTTTTCTTAAAAAAATAAAAAATATAAGCAAAATCTCTTCATAGTGCTAATAGATTTCAAAACATTAAATAATTAATTAACTATTACAAAGATATTTGGCATACATTTTCCATATTAAATTATTGAGGATGCAATTTATGCATTATCTCTTTAATCACAATCCAAAAAATAATTTTACTACATACCAAAATCGGGAAAATACAGTTTTCGTCCCTCAAGTTTGAATCAATTTCGCATATAGTCCCCCATGTTCACAAAAAAAACAATTGGTCCCTCATGTTTAAGAAAATCAAACATTTGATCCTTTCCGTTAATTTTCCATTAGTACTAACGGAATCAAGCGTGTGTCCATCACTGCGTTAACTGACGGACTAACGATAAATTGACAGAAAGGACAAAAAATGTTAAATTATAGAAACACGAGAAACCAAATGTGTTTTTCGTAAACATTGAGGACCAAATATTAAATCAGTACAAACTTCATGAAAACTGTAATTTCCCCAATTCAAATCTTGACCAAAATAGAAAAAAAAAACATATTAACTAGTTCAATAATCCTCGATTCGAACAAGCACTAGCCTTAATTCGTTTGAGTTCGATAACAACGTCTGCCATCGATATCCGATCAAGTGCACGCTCGCTCGAACACGCCACTCCAATTCCGAATACAGAAGCCACGCAGTTCATAACACTAGTGCTGAACGTGTCGCCTTCGTTTAGCACTACGAACGGATCCAAAATCTCCATCGCTCTATTCGGTGAGCAATTTCTAACGTAACTATGAAGATTTTGATCGTTTGATGATAATGCATCGCTCGTTGGCCGTACGTTTGTGAACATCTCCAGCAAGAGTATACCGTAGCTATACACATCCCCTTGTGTCGAAATTACGCCAGACATTCCGTATTCTGACAAACGAAAAACGAAAAAAAAAAAATCAAGATTTTATTGCATTACCATTTTATATTATATCTATATACAAATAAAAAGGATATAAGAAAGTAATTAACCTGGTGCAATATAGCCTATGGTCCCTTTTACGGCAATCGAAGAAGCGGTCTCGTCTGCTGCAAAGTTAGTCGAAATATCGGATATCACTTTGGCCAATCCAAAGTCGCCAACATGGGCAGTCATATCGTCGTCCAATAGTACGTTACTCGGCTTTAAATCGCCGTGGACTATAGCTGAACCAGTTCCGTTATGCAAATACTCGACCGCAGATGCAATATCAATCGCAATATCCACCCTCTGCATCAACGGAATATACCTTATACTCTGGTGCAACCACTCCTCCAAGCTTCCGTTCGCCTTGAACTGAAATATCAACGCCATAAAATCGTTCATTTGGAAGTCGATACTCACCGAGATAGATAATATCTTCAAGAGATTTCTGTGTCGAGCAACTCTCAGCGCTTTGCACTCCGATTCGAAACTTTTGACCGCTCCTCTGACTTGGAGATTGAGTACTTTAACTGCTACCGTTGTTTCTCCATCATCGAGAATTCCTTTGTACACGGTGCTGAATCTTCCGTTTCCGACAATGTTAGCCTCGGAGAATCCACTCGTTGCTCGTAAAAGGTCTGCGTAAGAAAGTCTCCGAAACTTGCTCTCGAACGATGACACGTATAGGTTCTTTATCGACTTTTTCTTCCGTAGAATGACTATGTACCAGCACACTACGAGAGAGACGAATACGGCACCAGAAACTACAATCGGGATCAAGACTTTCGATGAAACGGAAGAGTTTTTCTTCGTCTCGGGATTTGTTGAAGGGCAAGGAGGAAGTTTCAGCTCGGGAATGCCGCCACATAAGTCAGCATTCCCTTCGACTGAAAACGCACTTTGGTTACGAAAAATCCCGTCATTCGGAACAGGCCCTTGAAGTTTATTGAACGAAAGATTCAACAGTTGTAGAGGAATCTCTGCCAAGAATCTCGGGATCGGTCCCGAGAAGTTATTCGTTGATAGTTCCAACTCTAGTAAGCCTCTCAAACTACTCATGCCCTGAGGTATTTCTCCGTAAAACGAGTTGTTCTCGACGTAAAGCCACTGCAAGTTTGTGCAGCTGCTTATAGTGTTCGGAAAAAGTCCGGATAATCTATTGTTGGACAAATCTAACCAAGCGAGGTTTCTCAAAGAACCAATTTCAGCTGGAATAGAACCCGAGAAAGCGTTGTCGGACAAGTCGACGGCAACAGAAAGCGACGAAAGACTCATCAGTTCTTTCGGAATCGGACCGCTAAGATTGTTACGAGAAAAATCCAGCTCTAACAAATTGAAACAGTTAACGAGGCTCGGAGGTATACTTCCCGATATGTTGTTCCTCGTCAAGTGTAGGGTGTTCAACAAAGTCAAGTTACCAAGGGAAGATGGCATCTCGTTCGTGAATCTGTTGGCGCTCAAATTTAGCCGTTGCAACTTTTTAAGTTTTCCGATGGTTGAAGGGATCGGACCGCTGAAATGATTGAGGAAAAGAGTCAAGCTGGTCAAACCGACGAGATTTCCGATACCCGAAGGGATAGGTCCGTGCAATTGGTTCACTTCCATTGCTAGTTTTGTTAATCGGGTGGTGAGATTGGATATAGAGACCGGCAGAGAACCGGTTAAAATATTATCGAGGATCAAAACAACTCGGAGGCTAGTGCAGTTTGTTAAAGAAGAAAGAAAACCGATATCGTCTTCGACGTACGTGGAGAAAACGGAGAACCGCCACAGGTTCGAAAGCACGCCGAGATTTTTGGGCATGGGCCCCGTAAACCTGTTGGAAAATATCTCTATGGCTTGAAGAAACGAAGCGTTCGACAGCGAAACGGGAAGAGCTCCGGTGAAGTTGTTGTCTCCCAAACTAAGATGCCTCAGATTCGGAAGTGTGAGGCCGATATCCGGAGGAATATTCCCTCGGAGCTTATTAGTGAACACTAGGAAATACCGAATGGTGGAGATATTGAAAAGACCGGAAGGAATGGTTCCGGTTAGTTCATTTGTATCTAAATTGAGCCGTATCAGTTTCCGGAGGTTGACTAACGACTCGGGAATCTCGCCATGCAAACCACAGTTGCTCAACGAAAGTTGTTCGAGAGACGTAAAATTTCCAACGAAAGAGGGGATGTTTCCTGAAAAAATGTTATCGGACAAGCCGAGATCTTCTAGTTTCGAGAGAGAACTTAGCTCAGGCGGGATAATGCCGGTGAGCTCGTTGTCAATCAAGTTAAGATAGTGAAGATTCCGACACTGCGATAAGTTTCTAGGAATCTCACCGCTGAAAGAGTTATTGCTGATCTCAATGTACGCAAGCCGCCTAAGGCGGCCGAATTCTTGGGGAATCGGGCCCGAAAAGCTGTTATTTCTGAGACTAATGTGTTTGAGGAACGAAAGATTACCTAAATGTGGCGAAAGGGGCCCCGTCAACCCTTGCGAATCGAGGTCGATGGATATTACTCTGCTTCGGTGCCTTGTGCTGCAAGAAACGCCTCTCCAGCTACAGTAACTGTCCACCGTTGATCCGTTTGATATCCACGAGTCTAAAGCCCCTCTTGCATCGATCACTTTCTCCTTGAAGGATAACAACGCCAGCAAATCCGTTTCGTCGTCGGAGCATGTTGAAGGATTGATTATGAAGTATAGGAAAATACACAAGATCAGCCACTTAGCAAGGTTAGAATTTGTCATTCTTGTGATAATAATAATAATAATATAACTTAGAATTTTTTTGGCTTAAATACATCTCTGTGACAACACATTGGCTGAAAAAAATCATTTATTCAAATTCAAATTCAATAATTGAGGTTTGAATCAACTTTTTGGAGCTGACCTTGGACTTTATGTTCTGCATCTCATTTTTTACATTATTGTTCCCATTAATTAATAAGAAGAGAAATTTGGAAATCCGACGCTGTTCTTTTATCGGTTTGTTCTATGCTACATTCGCGTGTATAGATCCATATACATTGTACACGCAACCACACGTGTATATATATGTGTAAACCAAAGATGGAAAATTATACGGTGAAGTCAACCAAATCAAGATGCATTCATTCCACTTGATATAAAGTAAGGTCTTCGATTCTGATTCAAGTCTTCTAGAAAAGTAAGCTAAAAGGAACAGTTGAAACTCGATTGGGCATCACCGTCGTATTTTTCGCATTTTCGACTTTAATTTCAGTTACCGTAACACGTATTTTCCTAAAACATCGTCACGAACAATGCACAAAAAGAGGACCTTTTCACAAAAAGATTCTAGGATTCTCTGGAAATAAACAACCAAGTTAATATAATAATCCAGCAGTTCTACCATAGTTAGTGCTTCAATTACATGATGTTCGACAACTCAAAAGCTTCAGTTTTCAATATTTGTAACTACCGTAGTTAAGACTCTCGATTCCTAATCTTGCGCTCTAAATTTCTGAATTGCCATGCCAGAACCACCTTGCCCCGTAACATATCTTCCTACAGAAAAAAAAACATCATTCAGAATTTATATGTTCACTAGCCTATAAAAACAAGGGAAATGCACATCGTAAACTCGAATTTGTGTTGCTATGTTTTGAAGACATGAGCTATTAAATGAATTGTAATTTGAGATATTTAGAAAAAAGGGGAAACAAACCTGTTCAAGTTCTCTTGCGTTTGAGAGTTTTCAACTGTGCGAAGATGTAACTGATGACTTCCTTCAGAGTAGCCTTACGATTTTCCTTGAAGTTCCATAGCTCGGGAACTGAATAACATCCGCTTGGATTATATTCATGCATCTCCTTCAGCGCTGTAGTAACTGCATCGTACACATCATCTCCCCACTCATTCTTAAGGCCGCTTAGCAGTTCGTCATCCTCTTTTATGTAGTTCTACATTAAGCACCTCCAGTTATTTACGTATAAAATTTCCCACTGAATTATGGAACCCAAAAAAAAAAAAACAAAAAAAAACCCTTAAAACTGGTATTAAATCATTAAGGGGTTAATTCGGATTGGAAAATTGGATTTGATTAGAGGATTTGGGGAAGAATTTCAAATGACTCCAAATGGGTGGATTAGGATTCGAATTCCATTGTCAAATAAATCAATCAAATCGAAACAAACTCAATAGATTTGTTATTATGGAATTTAAATACTTTCCCATGATCCTCCAATTCAGGTTTTAATGAAATCGAGCATGCTAAAAGAGAGGCAAGATATATCTGTATTCTTTAAAAATTGATATGTACAATCGTTAAATAATTAAACTGAAATCATGACATGCAAGATAGTGAAGGTTTTTTCAAGCTACCTGACAATTCCCCTTGCTATCTTCAACAACCCGGAATGGATGCCAGTCGGGGTGTTTCATCTTTTCTTGCCACAAGGAGCACAGCTCAACAGTCTTTATATCAGCTTCTTCAGGTGGAAATCTCAGCTTGCATGCGTTCTTAAATGCTTTTTCATCGATTTCACCCATTCTTTTTATTCCGATATTGACACGGCTACTAATCAGCATTTCTTGCAAGCCCTGAAAATAAATAAGACAAATTTGGTTTCGTAGAAAATATATAGTCAATTACATATACCAGAAGTTAGTGTTAGGGTTGGGATGGGAGGATAAGAGAGCAAGAGAGGAAGACTCGATCAATTTGACTGCTATTCAAACAGAAAACCATCTAGCCAATTGCTATAATCATATCAATCTGGTATATCAAACTACCATACCTCAATTAGTTCTTTGCGAGCCTCTTGCAGCTCATCATTACTTTGGCGCTCTTTTAACAGCAGTTGTTTATTTAAATCTTCGAGACCATCCAAATCATCTTTTTTCTCCTGCAATTGCTCATTCATACTATCTATTTTTTGCTGAACAGCTGCATCATCTCCTCCCATATGTTTCATCACCTCCAACTTTCCTTTAAGTTCTTCAATTTCCATTTCCAATTTCTGCTTCTCATCTAAGTTTCTTTCTAGCTCAAGAACCTTTTTAAGAGCCTCTTCCTTCTCCCTCTGCATATTATACAGTATATGTCACCACACATGAGGGGCAAACTGACTCGATTACATTCTTCAAATCAATATATGTAGTGTATTTTGTCAGCATGTGATGGGAGAAGGAAAGTTGATAATACCCAGAGTCATACCTTCTGTTCTTCAACTAGCCTTAGCACATTTTTGTCGGCTTTCCTTTGCTCCTCAGAAGCCCATTGAAGCGAGTTGTTTCTCATATCATTCTGAGAGAAAATATAACATCAAACTTCACCATAAGTTCATTTTACTCAACATAAAAACCAGAGTTGATTAATCCTGATAGAAAAGGCATACGGCAAGTTAAAACAAAATTGGTTTCAACTGCAGTAACAACAAACATGAGGTTGAATGTAATGATGAACTCCAGAGCAAGAGTTTGCGCGTATCCAACCGAAGGAACCGTCACTCCGCCACCCATTGTCGGATGAAATATTGCCTTTAGCATAAACGATGCACATATCGATGCCACTATTTGTGCTCCGATGTACACCGGCACCTGTAAGAATTTACGAAAGAAATAAAAAAAATTCAAAAACATGTTTTTTTTCCGACAATCAGAGCTAAATACAGAGCAGAGAGCACTCGGTTATTGCTTGCTTACATGCTTCCATGGGAAATGCTTGAGAGCGGCAAATGCAATTGTGACAGCTGGATTGAGGTGGGCCCCGGAGATATGTCCGGTGGAGAGTATGACTATCATCACCGCTAGTCCGGTCGACCCCGCCAGGCCGAGCAGAGTCTCCGATCCGCCGGTTTTTTCGTTCACAATGGCGGTTGCGGTTCCGGCGAATATCAGTATAATTGTGCCTATTAACTCAGCCCCAACCTGAAAAACAAATGTATTAGTACAATATCCATGATATGTATATATGTATATGTATACATGGATCAAGAATTAAAGACCTTTCGAGCGAGGGAGATTGGAGGTGGAGGCAATGCACAAGTGACAGGGGGCAGAGACCCCTCCTCCAAAGCCCAAGATTCATGAACACCAAAGCATTTGCAGCTGCTCCTGAGAAAAGACGGTTTTAGCCCTCCGTTACGGCCTCGTTCGGGGCGGAATCCTCCGAAGAGAGGTGCACCGGGGGTTCCTGGAGTCACGGGTGTCGAAGGAGCAGACGCACCATCTTCACTCCCCATCACTCACACAAGAAATTAAAGAAATGTGCCCTAAAAGAGATGAGAATTGCACTAAACAAACAGTGGCTTTTATGTTTTGCATGACAATGAGGGGTTGATTTGAATTTATTTATACTTGTCTTTTTTTTAACAAAGATAGTTGACTTTGGAGAATCACAATAGATCCAGGAAAAAAGGGGGCAAAAAAAAGAAAGAAGATTTTTAGTATTTAGTGGATGATAATTGAAGTAGGGGGGAAAAATAAAGTTTCGCTTTTTTTTTTTTTTTTTTTTTTTTTTTCGGTAACGAAAGAACCAGCTGCCAACCGTATATGTGCACTGCGTAAACCAACACTCTCGTATAATAGCTTGCAGACTATACGAGAGACGTAAACCACACAAGCTCAACCTAGCGACCGTTGACAGAGGATTCGAATTTGGGTCAATTGATGCAAACTCACTTGCACCGACTGTTAGGCCATACATTGCGGAACGAGAAAGTTTTGCTTCGAGAATATGGATGGTGGGGCATTAATCATATGGGTTTTTTGTATTTTTTTTTTCTTTTGGCATTAGGATATTGAAAGAAAATTGAGGTTTTAGAGACAAAAGTTGTGGTTTTGCTGTCTGATTCCACTTGATATTGTAGTTTCTTTTTTCACTCTCAAAATAGTGAAAGCTTTCCATGGTTGTTGAAAGGGAGATATTGGTTTAGGCAAATAAACAAACACATGGGGGGTGTGAAAAAAAAAGAAAGAAAGATAAGAATCAGTAATTATGGTTGGTGAATTGGTCGTTTTTTTTTTTTTGGATTTATGCAATAATTATTGAGAAGGCAAAAATTTGGGTACTATTTTGTAATGAGAAATTTACACCTTCCAATGTGTGTGTTTTTTCTCCACCTAAAAACTCATGTAAAAAGCCTATTGATTTTTTCTACTTTTGCAGAGATTCAAGATTTGTGGTTTTATGGCAACCTTAAACTTTGAGGTAATTAATTGAAGAACATAAAATTTGCTACTTGCTTGAAGAAACAAAAGTGGGAAATCCCAAATAGTTTATTTGCTAATTAATGACATTTAGTTTAGTTAAGACTTCTGTTGTCTTAGTACCTTTAGGCCTGTTTTTAGGGACGGAACCAGAATCAAAATGTAGGGGCTAACTAAAATTTTAGGATTTGGGGCAGCGCTCCGAAAAAAAAATTTAGGTTCACAAAACATTAAAAAAATAAGTTTATATTACTAATTTTTAATTAAAATATCATATATATTATAATTATATCATCACCAAAATTTCTAAATTAATCCAAATTATTCTAATAATGTATAACACTTAATAATTCGGGGATTCATGGCACGATCTCGTACTATTTTTATAAAGACATTGATAAAAAAATTCAAAAATAAGTAATATTCATAAATTTTATTGAAAATAATACAAGTTTTAACCATTTTATTTTATATTTTATATTAAATATGATATATTCATCTATATTTTATATAAGATTATGGAGAAAAAAAAGAGTTAAAACACATATTTACAAAAAAATTGGGGGGCAAAAGTAATATTCAAAAAATATAATGCCCAATACCTTAAAAAAAAATTCTTGGGGGGTCAACAACCCCCCTCCCCCTTAAGAGTACCGCCACTGTCTCGTTTGATTGTCAAAATAAGATTAACGAATATAAGATTAAATAATCCCCTGGAAAGCCAAGATAAATTTTTTTTTTTCGGGTGGACCAAAAATTGTTGGGTTTACCAAAAAAAAAAAAAAAAAAAAAAAAAAAAAGAAAAACAAATTTCAATTATTTAGTTAATTATAATTAATTTTCTACCAAACGATGCCATAATGAATAGTTTAGTGCATAATGTGTGATGATGATTAATTAATTACTATACTAATTCAGAGGCAAATAATTCATAATGAATTTGGTCAAATTGATATAAACATGTGGATGGTGTCCAAGAGAAAAACCTTTAAAAAAATTGAAAACAAAAGGCAAAATAAATAGTTTTTTTTTTTTTTTTTTCCAATTACAATTTATGCTTATTGTATATTTGACCCGTATTCATGAGCTAATAATAGCACAAACCTCCATGTATTGCTTTTTAACTATCGAAAAACTCCTTGTGTTAAAAAAAATAGCAAGAACCCCCATTTTTAAAGCACGCCTTTTTTTTTTTTTTGTTAATTTTTTTGAAATGACCAAATTACCCTTACAACCAAATATTGAAAAAAAAGGAACAAATAAAACTTTTAGAGGGTATTCTTGATTTTTCAGGTCAAAAAATACACTTCTACTCTCATAATCCGCGCGTGCATTACACAATAAGTCAAACTTAATACAAGTTTGACCGGATTGAATCTATTTCGAACCAGACTAAATTTCTTATTAAATTAAGCTCAAACACAACTTTAATCAATAACTATTCAAAAAAACTTGAACAACCATACATTTGATTCGACTCGATTCGATTACATCCCTCCCTTTAAAATTGGTGCATTTTGGAAAACAAAACATCATGAATTAAAATCAGCTGAAAAGGTCCCTCTTGGAGAATCATTACTATTTAAGTGATAGGGATATTAAAGTTAGAACAAATTGAATGGTCCATTTCCTTTTTTTTGTTAAATTATGGTCATCTCCCTAAGGTAAAATTAAATTATGAAAAAATCCCTTATGTTTGGGTAATTACAATACCTCCCTCAATTATGAAGCTTCTTATAATTTCCCCCTTATGGTGTCACATTCAGTAGAATCTTCTAGATTTCGTGGAGTGTTCTCTAGTTTGTATTCGTTTTATGCAAAAACATAGTTTATGATGCACAACAATCGGAAAAGTCAAGAGACACATCTTATGATCATCTTGCTTCAAACGAGCTCTAATGAGGTCAAACGAGTACAAATTGGAGAATCTTCCACTAATAACCTTAGAAGATTCCACTAAATTTGACACCGCAACAGTGGACATGTTAAAAAGATTCATAGTCGAGGGGGTGGTTGTAATTATCCAAACAAGAAGGGTCGTCTTTGTAATTTGACCTTACTTCAGGGCAATAGCCGTAATTTACCATTTTTTCTATTTTTTATAAATGGTATAAATAATTGATAATATAATATGGATGGCAATGAATTGAAATTCTTTTACTGTCACTTCAAGACATAGATAAAAACCTTCATTCTTGTCTACTACTTATCGGCATATATATAGGCCTAGGCCAGGACAAATACTTTGTTACAAATTAAATTAACTTTAATATTTTCAAAACAATTATTTTTATTATTTCTAACAATTCAGAAATTTGTTCTCTGTTTTATCAGAATAAATTAATTCTCCTTTACCATTCATTTCATGGGACCATAATGGAAAAGAAAATTAAAAAATAACTTTAGAAACACGTTGACTCAGAGACCACCAAGATTTCTATACCGTCGATTAAGTTGGGGAAACGTGTGAATATTAAAAATATAGGGATGCATCCATAAATTCTAAAAAACAGTATAACGTTCAACTTATATATATTAATCATCAATTACCTATTTGTACCTATTTATATTATAAAGTATCCGGTTCAAAACAATCTCCGCCCGGTAGTATCGCGGTGCAGTTAATATGACTACAGGCGTAATCTAAAAATCCTTGCAACTTATCATCTGATGGAGGTGGATCGTGTACTATACACCAGTCTTTTTCCTAATTACAACCAAAAAAAAAAAAAGAATTTGTATTTAATAAATAAATAAAAACTCAAAAAGTATTTAATTATCAATGCCTTAATTGACAGACTAACGATAAATTGACAGAAATGACAAAAAATGTTAAATTATAGAAACATGAGGGACCAAATATGTTTTTCATGAACGTTGAGGACCAAATGTGAAATCAGTACAAACTCGATGAATACAAACTGTAATTTCCTCAATTTAAATCTTGACCAATATAGAAAGAAAATAAAAGATAATAACTAGTTCAACAATCCTCGATTCGAACAAGCGCTAGCCTTAATTCGTTTGAGTTCGATAACAACGTCCGCCATCGATATCCGATCATGTGCATGCTCTCTCGAACACGCGACTCCAATTCCAAATACAGAAGCCACACAGTTCATAACACTAGTGCTGAACGTGTCGCCTTCGTTTAGCACTACGAACGGATCCAAAACCTCAATCGATCTATTCGGTAAGCAATTCCTAACATAACTATGAAGATTTTGATCGTTTGATGACAATGCATCGCTCGTCGGCCGTACGTTTGTGAACATCTCCAGCAAGAGTACACCGTAGCTATACACATCCCCTTGTGTCGAAATTACACCAGACATTCCGTATTCTAACGAAAAAAATAATAATAGTAATCAAGATTTTATTGCATAGCCATTTTTATTGTATTACAATAAATAAAAAAGGATATAAGAAGGTAAAATTAACCTGGTGCAATATAGCCTATGGTCCCTTTTACTGCAATCGAAGAAGCGCTCTCGTCTGCTGCAAAGTTAGTCGAAATATCGGAAATCACTTTCGCCAATCCAAAGTCACCGACGTGCGCAGTCATATCATCGTCCAATAGTACGTTACTCGGCTTTAAATCGCCGTGGACTATAGCCGATTTCGAACCAGTTCCGTTATGCAAATACTCGACCGCAGACGCAATGTCGATCGCAATATCCACCCTCTTCATCAACGGAATATACCTTATACTCTGATGCAACCACTCCTCCAAGCTTCCGTTCGCCTTGAACCGAAATATCAACGCCATAAAATCGTTCATTTGGAAGTCGATGCTCACAGAGATAGATAGTATCTTCAAAAGATTTCGGTGTCGAGCAACTCGCAGCGCTTTGCACTCCGATTCGAAACTTTTGACCGCTCCTCTGACTCGGAGATTGAGTACTTTAACTGCTACCGTCGTTTCTCCATCGTCGAGAATTCCTTTGTACACGGTGCTGAATCTTCCGTTTCCGACAATGTTAGCCTCGGAGAATCCACTCGTTGCTCTTAAAAGGTCTGCGTAAGAAAGTCTCCGAAACTTGCTCTCGAACGACGACACGTATAGGTTCTTTATCGACTTTTTCTTCCGTCGAACGAGTATGTACCAGCACACTACGAGAGAGACGAATACGGCACCAGAAACTACAATCGGGATCAAGACTTTCAATGAAACAGAAGAGTTTTTCTTCGTCTCGGGATTTTTTGACGGGCAAGGAGGAAGTTTCAGCTCGGGAATGCCGCCACATAAGTCAGCATTCCCTTCGACTGAAAACGCACTCTGGTTACGAAAAATCCCGTCATTCGGGACAGGCCCTTGAAGTCTATTGAACGAAATATTCAACAGTTGTAGAGGAATCTCTGCCAAGAATCTCGGGATCGGTCCCGAAAAGTTATTCGTCGATAGTTCCAACTCTAGTAAGCCTCTCAAATCACTCATGCCCTGAGGTATTTCTCCGTAAAACGAATTATTCTCGACGTAAAGCCACTGCAAGTTTGTGCAGCTGCTTATAGTGTTCGGGAAAAGTCCGGATAATCTATTGTTGGACAAATCTAACCAAGCGAGGTTTCTCAAAGAACCGATTTCGGCTGGAATAGAACCCGAGAAAGCGTTGTCGGACAAGTCGACGGCGACAGAAAGCGAAGAAAGACTCATCAGTTCTTTCGGAATCGGACCGCTAAGATTGTTACGAGAAAAATCCAACTCTAACAAATTGACACAGTTAACGAGGCTCGGAGGTACACTTCCCGATATGTTGTTTCTCGTCAAGTATAGCGTGTTCAACAAAGTCAAGTTACCGAGTGAAGATGGTAACTCGTTCGTGAATCTGTTGGCGCTCAAATTTAGTCGTTGCAACTTTTTTATTTGGACATATTTACCCTTAATCAAATTAATTAACTAATTTATTCCTTGTTTATTATCCTACTTTTTTTTTAATATCCTATTCAAAACGATTGATTTTCTTCTTCAACCTAAAATTTTCTCTGTTAATATTTTCGAAAACCCTACACGGCAAGACAATGTTACTTTTAGCCGTTTTATTTTAAAAGGTTACTTTCTTTTCTCTATTTAGTTGGCATTTATATTTCAAATTGTATTATAATTGAGAAATCAATGTTACCATTTAACAAATTGTGTAAAGATAAAAAAAAATAATAAATCTATCACTACCCATTCCTTTCAACATATTATATATATATATATATATATATATATATATATGTTCAAGGTTGTTTTGGAATTTAATTTTTCGAATTAATTTTTTTATTAAGAAATATTATTTTTTATTAATAATATTATTATTTCAAATAATTTTTTAAATGGTCATTACAATACGGTCGTTCGAATTTGCTCGTTGAAATATAATTGTTTAATGTAATTTAAACTAAATTTTTTTAAATAAATAAAATATGATAATTGTGTAAAATATAAATAATGTTGTTGGAGTGTGAGGGAATACATAATAGAAAGTGTAAAAAAAAAAAAAAAGAGACCGACCAGTGCTTTGGTAGCCATTGACTGTCTTTGATAATTACTTTGTGGCGTTGGGAAATTGGATTTGTGCAATTGTTAGCATTTAAATTGGCAGATTATAATTGCTATTTTTTAACATGGTGTTTTTTTAGTCATTAGGGATTACACAGGGTTTTAGTCATTAGGGATTACACAGGGGGTCTGTGCAAATAGCTCTACACATAAATAGTAAAGGTTTTAGACCGCCTCCGAGAACAATTAATCGGCCGTTTCGATCGATTTTTAGAACACTCCAATATATATATATATATATATATATATATATATATATATATATATATATATATATATATATATAGGTAAATCACAAAAAGGCCCATGACAAGGGCACTTAATTAAAAGAGTGACATCCAACTTTTTTTTCTTTCAAATAAATCCAGCGCATTCAAACTTATTTGCAAATAAGGAAAATCCTTTTATATATACCAAAATTACCCCCAATTCATTGAAACCCAATTCAACTCTAATTTCATGATTTACACCCCAATTTAGCCTAATTTCACCAATTAATCAATTTTAACCCTAATTTCAATTTTGACCCCAATTTTGACCCGCCACAACCGGAGGCGGTCTCCGGCGTTGATTTTTTTTTTTTTTTTGAATTTTTTTTTTCCGGTAGGTCAACCGCCGTTGATTTTTTTTTTGTTTTTTCTTAAGAAAAAATATTTTAATTAATATTGGGCTGCTAAATTACTGTCTCCAGCAGTTATTTAACTGTCGGAGACAGTGATTTAATTGTAAATTGACCTTTTTTTTTCCCTTAAAAAATATTTCTAATTAATATTACTGTATTGGCTGCTAAATTACTGTCTCCAGCAGTTATTTAACTGTCGGGGACAGTAATTTAACTGTTAATTGACTTTTTTTTTTCTAATATTTTAATTAATATTACTGTATTCGTTGCTAAATTACTGTCTCCAACAGTTATTTAACTGTCGGGGACGGTAATTTAACTGTTAATTGACTTTTTTTTTTCTAGCAAAAATATTTTAATTAATATTACTGTCTCCAGCAGTTATTTAACTGTCGGAGACAGTAATTTAACTGTTAATTGACTTTTTTATTCCTAAAAAATATTTTTAATTAATATTACTGTATTCGTTGCTAAATGACTGTCTCCAGCAGTTATTTAACTGTCGGAGACAGTAATTTAACTGTTAATTGATTTTATTTATTTATTTTGAATTTTTTTTTCTTAAAAAAAATTATTTTAATTAATATTACTGCCTTGACAACAGTAATTTAACTGTTTTAGACAATAATATTAATAATATTACTGTTCGGGAAAATAATATTCATAATATTACTGTCCCAAACAGTAATATTACTGTCTGAGAGACAATAATTTAGTAGCCAAGACAGTAATATTAATTAAAAATCGAAAAAAATGTCAACGCCGGAGACTGGCGGTCAACGGTGGTTGACCGGCCGAAAAAAAAATTCAGGAAAAAAAAGTCAACGCCGGAATCTGGTCGGAAAAAAAAATTAGAAAAATAATTATTTTTCTGAAAAAAAATTATTTTCTGAAAAAAAATAAAATTTTGGGGTTAATGTGATATATTTGTTTAAATCCGGGTTCAATGTGTAATATGAAGGAAGTTAGAGCATAATTGATGGAATTGATAAGAATTATATTATGGAGAGTATTTTAGACTAAAGACATGGGGATGGGTTTAATTGAGAGACTGTTTTTTTTTTTGGACCTATGTGCATTTAAGTCCCATGTGATGGGCTTTTTTGCCATTCGCCCTATATATATATATATATATATATATATCTTCTGCTATTTTTGACGGGTTATTGACTAAACATTCTTTATTCTAGACTTATATAGGTGGCAATCAAAGTTGTAAAATGAATATATCATATAGATCCCTTCAGGTAGGGCTGTGCATGGATCGGTTTTAACCACCAACCAACCCATTTTCGACCCACAATTTGTGATGGTTAATCAACCATCAACCGACCCATTTAAGTTGGGTCGATAATGTCAACCAACCCATGTATAGTTGGGTCGATAATGGTTTCTAATATGCTTAAAAGTTGGTTAGTCGGTTAATATCGGCCAACCAACTTTATTCATTAATTTATTATTTATTAATTTTAATAAAAATATTTAATATTTTTAATTTCAAATTTCTATTTTATATCATATTTATTAAATTGTTTAATATTGACCAAAATTTTAAAAACAATAAATCTAACTAAATTATCTAATTTGAACTATTTTAATTTTAAGACATATAGTCTAAATATTTGGATGATTATTATTTGTTGAACTATTTATGTTTAATTGTAATATATATGCCCGTAATGTTTTTAATCTTTTATTTGAATATAATTGAACTAGTCGCATTTAATTTATAAAAGATATAGCATTGTAACAAGTAATAAAATATTAAAAAAAATTAAAAAAATATTTAGATGGATGACCCATCAACCAAACCACCAACCAACCCATTAAATTGGTTTTCAACCATCACCCAACCCATGTAAGTTGGGTCGATAACGGTTTCCAATATTTACTAAAGTTGGTCGGATGGGTTGGGTTGGTTTTATGGCTGGTTTTTAACCAAACCAACCAACGCACAGCCCTACCTTCAGGGACAAACCCAGTAAGAGACTGGGGGTGGCCCCCGCCGCTGCAGAAAGAAAAAAAAATTAACATTTTTTTATTATTTTAATTTGGTATGTTATAGACTTTCGCTTCCCCAAAGTTTATTTTTATGCACTTTTAGTCCCAATTTTTTTTTTCTTTTCTTAATCACCACATATTCTAACCCCCAAACAAAAAACCTCTAGATCCGCCCATGTGTCCCTTGTCTAAAAATATGATATAAATTAAATTAATTATTCGTATATAGACATAAATACCCTTAATTAATATTTAGGACTTACTTTTTACAGTTGAAAAATTGCTATTTGTAGTTCAAACCTAATGCTATTTGTATCTGAAAGTCTAGACTAGGCGCCCAAACCGTAACCGGGCGCGCATTCCCGAACTGGACGCCCAAATCGGGCGTTCACCAGCATTTTCCACGCCCAAATCGGGCGTGAAAAATGCTAGTTTGGGCGTTCACCGAACGCAATTTTGGAAAAAAAACAACCCTACAAATCGATTTGTAGGGCTATTTAACATTAAATTACAACTGAAATTTCTTACCCAATGCAATAAAAACGTTTAGGAGTTGAAAATACCTCAAAATTTTGATTAATTTAGCTTGTTTTTGCTTGAATTCGAATTTTTTGAATTTTTTTTGTTAAATATTTTGGTTTTGGGGAGGAGATGAAGAGGGTTTGTAGTGAGAGAAGTGCTTTTAGGGTATGAACTGCAAATAGCAAATTTCTAACCCCAAAAAGCATTTCACTTAATATTTATATAAACTAGTTATTTATAAAATATAGGGAACAAACCACACACATCACTCTGCATACCCCCCTCTCTCACACACGCGTTTCCGTCTATGTCCTCTCTTCTGCTCTCACTCTCTTCTCTTTATCTCCTCTTTCTCTAATCTCACGCGCTCCCAGCTCATCCACCGACGCGCGCGCACGCGCGCCCTTATTGGGCAGCGCGCGCACGTCCGCCCCTCCCCCTACTCCACGCGCATTGCCTACACACGCACCAACCGCACGTGCGCGTCCCTCCACGCCCGACGCGCGCGCGCGTTCTTCAACCCCTAGCTCAGACGCGCGCGCGCGTGCCTCGGCCACCGGGCCCGATGCGCACGCGCGTCCCTCCACCACTGGCCCACGTGGGCTGGCTGCCCCCTCTCCCATCTCTTCATTCCCGAGGCAAGCCGACGGCTCACGACTCCGGCTCGGCTCCACGCGTTCCACTAGAGAATTCCTCTCACCGGGTTTGGGCCGGCTCGCAGCGCGGCTCAAGCCGATTTCCGCCTCCAAGCCGTCTACAACCCCCATCTGCACAGTATTTCGTGCAACGCCTACTGCGGATCCGATTTTCGCACCCGATACCACAAGTTTCTCGCGTTCCATACCCACTGTACCAAAAGTTTTCTCGCCCCCTTCAACCGGATCTCGAAGTTTAATTCGCAAAGATTTCGAATTACTCGGGTTCGACATGAGAAATATTTTTCCCCGAAGAAGCAATCAAGAAAGAAAAAAAAAATTTCTACTCTACTGCTATAGAATAAAAGAAGAAGAGCACAGAAGAATACCTAAAGTTAAAAATACATACCCATATTTATTAAGCAGGAGTTAAAGTTTAATTCTTTCCACCACAAAATGAGTCTATTTATCTGGCCCTGAGATCAATTCAACGCCAACGGAAACTATTCAAGCCACGACACAATTAACTCTTGACACGATCCGGACTCCCCTAAACATGTCTCCCATCTCGACTCGAGAGTTGGGGGGCTTAATGATATACCTAATTGGGCCGACCCAATGGGCCCCAATTTATTTAATAATTAGGCCCAATACACGAAAGCCCAATCACCTATATTTGGGCCCATTACACGAAAGCCCAAGCACCTTCAATGTAAGGCTTGGGCCCAACAAAGTAAGCCAAACCCAATCAACGACATATAAATAGAGGTTTTACTCATTTGTTAAGGTACGTTCGATTATTCACAAGTATTCTAGAGTGCATATTCTCTCTACCATCTCCACGATCCGTACATCTGACTTGAGCGTCGGAGGGGTTTCCGCCGGATCAACCCCCGGCTTAGTTCACGTGTGTTTATTTCGTAGGGACCTCAGGATCATCAAGTTGTCAAGCTACTGATCCGCTTTGCTCTCCCAACTCGTTTTCTACACTACCCTAGGTGATCTAATTAATTAGCATCATCAATATCTTTTTCCCTCTCTCTACTAGTGCTTGGAGTCAGATGTTGTGTTCAAGGGCGGTGTAGAGGGAGCGTCGAGGTTCAAGGGTGAGGGGCCACTGCTGCAGGTGGGAGGGAGGCGACGACGGGGGCTAGTTTGGGGAAGAAGATGGCCCCTTTTCATTTTTTTTTTGTAATTTAATTTTTATTCTTTTGTTTGTTTAAAATTGGAATACTATTAAGTATTAAGAATAGGGTAAATTATACTTTAACCCCTTGTGGTTTGGACATTTTGCACATGACCCCCTATGGTTTGAAATTAGCATATAACTTCCTTGTGGTTTTTATATTTTGCACATGCCCCCATCTATGGTAAGAAATTAGGCACATAACCCCTTTGTGGTTTTAACATTTTGCACATGACCCCCTTATAGTATGAAATTAGACACATAACCCCCTGAATAGAAAACTGAAAACACTAAATTACCCCGAAATAATAAAGACTTTGTTTTGTCTTTTAAGTAAAAATGTACACTCTGGTTACTGTTTTCTCCTCCGGATTCCAACCATTTCTATTAACCAAAATACATAAAACTTGTTGTGTTGAAATGATTAACAATTAATTAATCTCTATAATTTAATATTTTCTGAAGATATTTAAATATTTAAATCTATATACTTAAATATAGATTAATAAATCTATATTTAAATTTCCTCACCATTAAAATTTCTCTCTCTCTCTCTCTCTCCCTCATACTTTCTGATTAAAATATTAATTTTATTTGGTAAAAAGAAAAAAAAAAAGAAAAATAGAGGAGGAGAAAATGAACAGCCCCATTTTCCTCTCACTTTGATCTTACAGTACTTTTTTTTTTTTTTTCAGCTCTGTCAAAACTAAAAATTGGATCTTGTTAAC